GGCGGTTGCTTTTGCTGGGCGGCTCGGCGGCTCGGCTGCCGCTAGGGGCAGCGACGGGGCCGGGTAGGGGCGGCGACGGGGCCGCTTGGGGTGGCGACGGGGCCGCCTAGGGAGGGGAGCGGCGACGTGGCCGCGTTGGGGCGGCGACGGGGCCGCGTAGGGAGGGGAGCGGCGTCGGGGCCGCTAGGAGCGGTGACGGGGCCGCGTAGGAGTGTCAGCGGCGACGGGGCCGCTAGGGGCGGCGACGGGGCCGCTAGGGGCGGCGACGGGACCGCGTAGGGGCGGCGATCGGGCCGCGTAGGGGTGGCGACGGGGCCGCGTAGGGAGGGGAGCGGCGACGGGGCTGCATAGGGGTGGCGACGGGGCCGCGTAGGGGCGGCAACGGGGCCGCGTAGTGAGATTAGCGGCGACGGGGCCGCTAGGGGCGGCGACGGGGCCGCTAGGGGCGGCGACGGGGCCGCGTAGGGGCTGCTACGGGGCTGCGTAGGGAGGGGAGCGGCTACGGGGCCACTAGGGGCGGCGACGGGGCCGCGTAGGGGCGGCTACGGGGCCGCTAGGGGCGGCTACAGGGCCGCGTAGGGGTGGCAACGGGGCCGCGTAGGGGCGGCTACGGGGCCGCGTAGGAAGGGGAGCGGCTACGGGGCCGCTACGGGCGGCGACAGGGCCGCTAGGAGCGGCGACGGGGCTGCGTAGGGGCGGTGACGGGACCGCTAGGGGCCGCGAGGGGCCTGAAAGGGCGGCTACGGGGCCGCTAGGGGCGGCGCGAGGGGCCGTGAGAGGGGCCTCTAAGAGAGGTTCACAGAAGGGCAGCTCACAAGGCGCGCCTCGAGCAGGAGCGACTATCGCTTCGGTCAGAAAAAAAAAAGTTTCAGTGGTGGGCCCAAGGAAGCGTTCCCACTAGGGAACCTGCTCTATACCATGTCAGAATCCCAACCACTAGACCATTGGGATAAAAGGGCTTGTTAAGTAGCGGGTCAGTGCGCCCATAATCCCCCAGGCCAACATGCCTGTAACCCTTCCCTAGGATCAATTGGGGATGACTAGTGGACCTCTGACACCCCCCCGCACTGGGATGCCCAAAGTGCATACACTGGGATTCGAAACCGAGACCTTCGCTTTGATACCATGTGAAGAAATGAGGAATGAATGAACTAGCAAGTAGGTGGGTACAAGTAGGAAAACCTAGAAATGTTGTACCCCATATTGTCTATCCCACTACAGCCTACACAGACTATAGCATATGAGTTTGATACGGGGCAGCAGCGGGCTGCGAGAGCGGTAGACGCGGCGCGCGGGGCAGCAGCGGGCTGCGCTGGCGACGGAATTCTAGAAAGAAAAAATAAAGAAAGGAAGAAAAAAAAAATCAAACGTCCTCCCTAATTCATCCCTGTCCCCTCCCTCTCTCCCCACCCCCTCTCGTTGAGAGGGTAAGGTTAAGTGCATTTAATGTTTATGATATGTAAGGAAATTCCTTAGTCTTTACTTCGCGCCCGTGGTTACCGCGTACATGAATATTCCCTCCAACAGTAAACCGTTACCACAGCGACACTCGTCTCGACCACTGTTCCCGACAATGCTCACATCCCGTCCCAACCTTATAGCTCGGTTGGTCTGATAATCTGCAGTCCGGTCTTCTGCGACAATTCCCAATCTCGGCGCCAGGCCCGTCGCGCACCCTATTTCGCGCATTACCATTACCATGCTAGTTCGTTATATAGCATTCACTCATCCCTTCGCTCAATGTACTGTTTTGCTTTGATAGTGCTGTCTTTAGTTAGCTCACTAGATGGAAATCGTAACAGGATCCCACATGTTAAAGTTGTAACTCAATGTACAGCTTGGTGGAGTACCACTCAGGCGATGATTTCCCGCGCGTTTTTGCGGGTCTGGTGGTGGAGGGAACGTTTAGGGTTTCGTGAAGCTTCTGCTGGTTCACTTAGAAAATAAGCCTATTTTCGATTTTAGTCAGATTAGCCAGCTCCCTGGGCTAGACTAGCAGGCTAGGAGCTTCGTGGCTTGGCGTTTGTGATTCATTCGTCGACAGTTCGGTCGTTTCGTCACTTACCGACTTTGTGATTTTTCTTATCTCGGATCTGAAGTTCTTGCGAAGGCTAAGGCCATGGCATCAGGTTATGGCCGCTCACCCTACGACTCCGTTCGCCAGTTCGACTCGCAGCCGCCGTCGCGCAGCGGTTACGATTCCTTGGATCGCGACCGTCCATCCGCACACGCTTCGTATCGCGAACGGTCGCGGTCGCCTCGACGATCTGACAGTCTCGCTGGCGCTTCACGGGATCGTGACCGTTACGGTGTGACTGACCGGTCAGGGTTCTCCGGGAGGGACCGGGAACGCGAACGGGACAGAGAAGCAGGCCGATCCTACGATCGTGACAGGGACAGGGATAAGGACAGCTATCACGACCGGGACCGCGAAAAGGCTTCTTCTCGCGAACGGGAGAAAGATCGCGATAGAGGCGACGGTCGAGATCGTTCCTCGGGGTTCAGCGACCGGTACGATTCTGCCGGCCGGGGCAGCAGCGGCGGTTATCGTGACGACAAGTACGACCGCGATCGTGACGACCGGTACGACCGCGATCGTGACGATCGGTACGGCGTGTCCAGCAGCAGGTTCGGCGGCGGCGGACCTATGGGGATGGGAGGTCCGCCGTTAGGTCCGCGCGGAATGGGAGGTCCTGGAGGTCCGGGAATGAGCGATCGGTGCAATGCGTGCGGCGGGGTGGGTCACTGGGCGCGCGAGTGCCCGAGCAAGTTCGGCGCGCGAGGCGGGTTCGGCGGAAGGTTCGGCGACGATGGGATGGGACCCAAGTGCTACGAATGTGGGCGGAGGGGACACGTGGCACGAGAGGTATGTCCGAGTGGAAATATCTGGTCATGATCACGAAGCTGTTGGAGGTTGTTCCACTTACACCCCCTTTATTTCGATCCGTTCCCTCTTTAATTGTTTAATGTTTCAAGCTCACTGTGTGTTTGTTTCACGTCGTCGCTGTTTGTACATGTATTTCCGTTTTCCCTCGTCGCTTGTTCTTATGCCTTTTGTCTCCATTAAAGTTGGTCACCCGAAGCAGACGTGGTTAATGCGTTGGTCGTTCCGTAGGGTTAGTTTGACATAGAAAGGGCACCAGCCGTTGTCTTTCTTGTGGTGAAGGGCGAGGGAGATGAAGAGGAAGAGGGAAAGGGAGCGAGAGGGGAAGCAGAAAGGGATGAGGGAGAGTGCGTTGTCAGGAAAGCTCGGCCTTAGCGCAACGCGTGAAAGTGGCGTGTCTCTCCATGTGTGCTCCTGCTCCTTATCCTTCTCCTCCGTCTCGTTCTTCCCTGAGGGGCTTTACATGCTCGGTGCGAAGCAACGGCGAAGGTGGGTCCTGCGCGTAGCTGTTAGATTAGAGGAGAAACGATGGGTGAGGAGAGGGTGAGGGGTAGGAGAAGGAGGGCGACTGGGAGGGCTGGACGCTGAAAATCATGGAGGTGAAGCGGAATGGGAAACTGGAGGGGGTGGAATGGAGTGGCGTGGAGAGGTGGAGTGAGGTGGCGTGGAGTGAAGAGGTCTGGAGCGGAGTGGGATGGAGTGGAGTGAGGTGGAAGGTGGAGGGGTGATGAGGGCGTGGCGGAGGTATACACGGGAGGTGGGCAGAGGGGAAAGACAGGGAGGAGTTGAGAAAGTGGACTAGGGGTGGGACTGAGCGGGGCGGGGCGGGGGAGGGGAAGGGGGGGCGGAAGAGGGGGAGAGATATGGGACACACTGCCTCTCCTTGCCTCCAGCGCTCTCCGCCCAGCTTTCCTCCTAGCCTCCCGTCTCGAGGTGCGCACCTCGCCATAAGACCGTAGTTTACACATCAAGGTAGGTATGCTGGATTAATCGGCTTACGAGGCGCCGTGCCGTCTTCTGCTTACCCCCCTTTGTTCATAACTAGTTCCCAGCGCGGATCCCTGCGCCTTCCTTCCGCACGTTGCACCGTCTCTTCCTTCCTCTCCACCCCGCGTCACTCCTCTGCATCCCTGCAGGCTGTCAGTTCCAAGCGAGGGATTCTTGAAGGCGGTCAGAGCTGTTACGTCTGCAAGGATGTGGCTCACTTATTCTGAACCGCCTCATTGCCCCTCTGCGCCCCTCTGCACTCCTCCCGTCCTCCCTCAACCGCTCGTCACCCCTCTGTACGCCTGCAGTGTCAGTTCAAGCAGGGCAACCCCGATGGTCCCATAGAGCAGCGCTGCTACGTGTGCAACGAAGTGGGTCACATCGCCCGCGACTGCCCCGCCAAGCCACCCCTCGGCGCCCCCATCGGAGCCATAGGCTCGGGCCGAGCCGGGCCCGGGTTCGGCCCAGGCTCGGAGTTCGGTCAGGACGGGTGCTACTACTGCGGCAGGAAGGGGCACTTCGCGCGAGAATGCCCGGAGAAGTTTGGCGGCGGCGCGCCGATGATGCCGCCGGCGGCAATGGCGGCGGCGGCAGCCGCGGCAGTGGGAGGGCTAGGTCCGGGGATGCAGGATCGGTGGATGGGGGGGCTGGGGGCAGGGATTGGGGCGTTCAGGCCGGGATTTCCGCCGGGGATAGCGGCGTTTGGGGCGCCGATAGGGACGGGGTTTCCGCCGCAGGTGGTGCGTCCGGCGGGAGACGGGTGCTATGAGTGCGGCGAGCCGGGGCACTTCGCGCGAGAGGTACGCCGCTGCGCTCCCGTGCTAGCGTTTGCTGTGTGTATGCTAGATCTACGGCTTATGCTGCGTATGCGGTTCACGCATAGGTTCACATGCGCGTTGTCCTATCATCCCTTCCTCCCTTCCTCCCCAACCACCCCCCTCCCACCCCCCGACCCTCCCACACCCCGCCCCATTCCCACCTTCCCTCTCCGCTCCCCGTTCCCAACGTTCCTCTCTTAACCTCGCCTTTCCGTTCCTCCTTTCCTTCCCTCTACGCCTGCTGCCCTCTCGTTCCGACGCTGCTTATGCATTGCTTGTTGATTGCGCCGATTTGTAAAGCGCGCCAATGAATGACGTATCTTTCTTTCCCGCACTCCCCCCCTTTCTCCTTTCCTCCCCCTCTCCCACCCCCCGGCCCCCCGCCCGTCCCCCTGCCCCCCTCCCTGCTTCCCCCGCCCGTTCTCTTCCCCGCGTCTGTTTCCCCGCCGCAGTGCCCTACCCGGTCGCGGCGCTTTGCGGAACGGGCAGCGGCGGCGGCGGGGGCGGCGGGGATTGCAGTGGCGGGGACGGGGGCCGAGGGGCGGCGCATTGCTTCCAAGGCAAGTGGGAGGGCGGCAGAGGAGGCGCTTAATAATGAGCTGGAGACGTACATGAAGGTACACCCGGTTTCGTGGTTATATTCAGGTGCCAGTTCTGGTGTAGATTGGCTAGGTTCACAGGAGGCGCGTAATAATGAGCTGGAGACGTACACGAAGGTACACTCGGTTTCGTGAATATAAAAGTACATACAGGTGCTAATTCGAGTTCTGGTGTAGATCGACTCGATTTAGTTATGAGCGTAGTAATGAGCTGGAGACGTACGTGAAGGTAAATTCGGTTTCGTGGTTATACACTGAGGTGTTAGTTATGGTTTGGGTGTATTTCTACTTTATATAGGCAGAAAAGGTGCTGAATGTTGAGCTGGAGATGTATACGAAGGTATTCTAGCTCTGGTGTAGTTCTGCTCATATTAATCTCAGGAGGCGCCTAGTGATGAGCTGGAGACGTACCCAAAGGTACATTAGTTTTCGTGACTTATTTGATGAGCTGGAGACAACACGTAGGGGAGCGTTGGGTTCCGTTTTTTAGTTGACTCAAAGTTGAAACGCAGGAGGCAGTTAGACAAAGAGATGGGGACAATACGTAGGGGTGCGCTGGGTTTCCATGCGGTCTGATGGAGTGTTGTTTCAACACATGCATCAATGCATGTCTGGGCTCGAAAAACAAGGTAGCAAAAATAGGAGTTAAAGGTGGAAAGTGGAGAGAAAACAGAAAGCTGACCAGTTTACTTCCTGCTTGAAGGCGATTCTCCTTTTTCTTTGTGTTAAGTCTAGATGTAGTGGTTTAGGGCAGGTTGATGAAGCACAGGACCATCGTTTCAAAAAAAAAAAAAACCCCTCCTGTTTTTTGTTCCTGTGGGTGTTGTTGCAGGACAAGGCTAGGGATGGGGGCAGCAGTGAGGAGAGGGAGGAGGAGGGCAGGAGGCGCGGCGGGAGGGAGAAGGATGCAGAGGGAAGAGACGAGGTAAGAGGAGGGCGGAAAGGGGGAAAGGATTCCAGTGATAGCGACAGTGGTGGTGTGCGGAGGAGGGGGAGGGGTGAGAAGAGGGGAGGCGACAGGAGTAGCAGGAGGAAGCGTTCTCGATCGCGATCGAGCAGTAGCCGGTCCAGGTCGGTGGGTAGTAGTAGTCGATCGAGCCGCTCGTCGGGATCGAAATCGTCCCGGTCGAGGAGTAGGTCAAAATCCTCGAAATCCTCGCGGTCGCGATCCAAGAGTAGATCGAAATCGAGGTCGTCTCTATCGTCCAAGTCAAGGAGCTCGAAATCGAAGAGTGGGGGGTCGAAGAGCACGGGGTCTTCGTCTCGGCGCAAGGGGTCGCCGTCCGCCAGTGATGCGTCGTCCGGGAGGGATGGGAAGAGGAGGGGTTCTGAGGAGGTGGTTTCGAAGAGTGACGATGGCGGGAAGGAGATGGAAGGGAGGAGGAGGCGAGGAGGGAAGGGAGAGGGGCGGGAGGAGGAGAAGAGGGAGAAGGGGAGGGAGGGAGGAGAGGAAGAGGAGAGGAAGGAGGAGGAGGGATCTGGGAGCAGGGGAAAGGAGGGTGGAGAGGAGGGGGGGAAAGGAGGGGAGGACAGGAAGGAGGAGGCAGCGGAGCAAGGTAGGGGGGATGAAGGAGGAGAAGGGGGAGAAGCGAGAGGAGCAGGTGGGTTGAGTGAGCGACGAAATGAGGGGAAGGCAGCAGAGGGAGATGAAATGGACGAGGATAAAGGGGACGGGGCGACTGCAGGGGGTAAGCAGGCAGGGGAGTCCGAGGCAGATGGGGTCAAAGGAGCTGGAGGTGCTAGTGATAGTGTGAGGGGGGAGGATGCAGGAAACAAGCGCAAAAGGACGAGTGAGGGTGAGAATACAGTTGGGAGTGTGGGGGAGGGAGGGGGCGAGGGGATGAGCTTGGGGCTGGATGCTATTGCAGCAGCAGCAGAGGCTGAGGCGGCTGGGGCAGAGGCAGAGGCGGTGGAGGGAGGGAAGGAGGGGACGGAAGGACGTAAGTTGCTTGATTTGAATGAGATGGAAGGAGGAAATGATGGGCGTGTGGATCAAGGAGGGCATTGATTGGTTTGGCCCCTGCACACGCTCAGAGGTGTGTTGGATGTGCATTTTGCGAGCTGCATTTTTGGCAAGTGGGCGTTACTCAGCTGGTATGCTTGAATCATTGAAATAATTTGAATATTGTGCACTTCTTATGCTGTGTTGGTTCTCATTGGTGCAGGGCCGCTGGGGTTCTCGGTATGAGGATTAGCATTTGGTTATCTGTGTAACAATGGACATGTTAGACTTAATTTGTTTAGAATCATACCTGGAATGATATCTGACCAATTTTGGTTTTTTAGAAGCAATCGCAGATTCAGTCACTCGAGATTTGGGGGGGAATGCCTTTCATGTCGCCCTGTTACGTAACCTTCCGCCAGCGTAGCTGTTTTTCCGCCGCGAATCAAGCAATACAGCTCCTCAGATTCTCATGATCTCTGAAACGCCGCCGGAACATGCCAAAACCCCAAGCCTCTGGCGTGTCCGTTGAAATTGCCGAGCTCCCTTCAGCCAGACCAGAGCTCTCTTGCCCATTGAGAGTTCTGGCTCATCTAAGTCCATTGTTTCAAATTTCTTGTACCAGCCTAGAACCTTGTTCTTCTCAAGCTCACAAATTTCTTGGCTCAGGTTCCAGGTTGTGCCTTGTCCTGGAATCTTCAAGCTAGTCCTTTTACCTCTAAGTACCCTTGTGAATCGAACACCTGAATATCGGTTCCCTCTGTGGAGAATCTTTTAAGGAGCATTACAAGGTTAAAAGTCCGATCTGCTGAAAGCTGGTCCTCGTGATCAAGCACTTTCAAGATGCTCGACATTAACTTGTTCCGAGCGGAGAAGGGCGGGAATCCAGAGATCATTCGCGAATCACAACGGCGAAGATATGCGAAAGTGGAGCTGGTCGACGAAGTGATCGCTCTGGATAAAGAATGGCGAGAATGTGAGTTCACGGATCGAATGTGATGACTTAAACAAGCCTTCGCCTTTTCTATCTCTTCCTCTTCCACAAGTCTTTTGCTTATCACGTCGATTCCGGCTCGGCTTGTTCCTGTGTTGTCCTAGTAGTTTTATTCACTGATGATCTGGTTTCATTGTATTTCTTCTCTTCAGGCCAATTCCAGCTGGATCAGCTTCGAAAAGACTTCAACAAGGCCAACAAGGAAGTCGCCGCCAAGAAGATTGTAAGTGCTTCTGTTTGTGGTGTTTCCCTGATTCCAGTCGACCAATGTGATAAAAAAGCTTCGTCTGCCGGTTTCCGGTTCGTGTCTTCCATGTGCTGTTTGTAGTTTGCTTTATTAGCTAAACCACGTCTGGTTTATATTGTGACCCGTTTTTCTCGATAACGCCTTAAACCCCTCCGACTCTTGTTTTCTCTTCCTACTTCGGAGAACCAAGCAAGGTCGACGGAGATTAACCATCGACGAGGAGATCAACTCCATTTTTTAACCTCTCATCGTTCTCTTTCGCCTCTCATCGTTCTCCTCCCATTTCGCAGGCGAAGCAGGATGCGACAGAGGAGATAGCCAAGGTGAAATCCATCGACGAGGCGATTAAAGCCAAGGCGGTGGAGGTGGAGGAGAAGCGCAAGGAGGTGGACGCGCGCGTGAACACGATCGGCAACCTGGTGCACGACTCCGTGCCCGTGGACAACGACGAAGACCACAACGCCGTCATTCGCACGTGGGGCGAGCCCCGCACGGACGAGGGGGTGAAACGCAACCACGTGGATCTGGTGCACATGCTGGACATCGCCGACTTGGAGAGAGGTGCGGCATTCAATCTGGTGTCGCAGCATTTGTCCTCAATAGTTGTTTCTGCCTTGATCTGCTTTGATCGCAACCACGTGGACCTGGTTCACATGCTCGACGTCGCGGACTTGGAAAGAGATCCGATGTTGGTTTCAGTGTCTCCCTTCAGTAATCCCAACTACGCCTTGTTTCGCTTGGATTGCAACCACGAGGATGTGGAGAACATCCTCGACATCACGGACTTGAACGCGGTTATTTATTTCATTTTATTTTCTCTCTCTCGTTTTGTTGCGTTTTTGGGTGTTTTTATCAACAGGCGCGAGCACGGCGGGGGGGCGAGGGTACTACCTCAAGGGGATGGGCGTGATGCTGAACCAGGCCCTCATCAGCTTCGGCCTCTCGTTCCTTGTGCAGCGCCAGTACACGCCGTTGCACACGCCCTTCTTCATGCGCAAGGACGTCATGGCGGAGTGCGCGCAGCTCGCGCAATTCGACGAGGAGCTCTACAAGGTTCGTTTGGGTTTAAAACGTTGGAAATTTTAGGAAATCAAGTTTGGAGGTCGAATTAGCCGTGGTGTGTTGTGGACTTTGTGTGCCTTCGGATTTCGTCTATTGTGGTGTGGACATGTCCCACCATCTCGATTTTTTTCGTCGCGTGGCCTCACGTTTCACGTGCGTTTCTGCCTCCGCTCCGCGTTTGTCCGTGCAGGTGTCGGGAGAGGGCGACGACAAGTACCTGATCGCCACGTCGGAGCAGCCGCTGTGCACGTACCACCGAGGGGAATGGCTCGACCCCAAGGCTCTCCCTCTCAGGTGACGCTCTTTCAGACCCTCTCCACTCGCGCGCCTTCCTCACTCCCCGTTTCTCCCTCCTTTGAGCCCTTTCCCCCATCCCCTCCTCCCCCACTCGGGCTCCCCATCCCGTTCCACCCACCCCTCTTTCTCTTACTTCTTTCACTTATAATCATCTTTGTGTCGGCGACTCGTCGGCAGAAGCCCCCTCCTTTCTGCCACGTCCGTCGGCCACATAAGTACCGCCTCGGTGTTCTGTGATGATAACCATCCATGCTAATTCCGACGCCCGTCAGGGTCGCATGGGGACCCACATCTTTTTTACTCTCTTACTGAGAACACCAAGGGGGAATTAGGAAGAATCACGGTAGTACTGTACTGTGCGATGTTGTCCCTGCATTTCATTTAGGATCTACTGTTTCAGTCTTCAGAATCTCGCTCTCATGACAGGTGGTCCATTGATGTTACAAAACACCATGCTAATTCTGAACCCCGTCTAACGGAGTGTGCGGAAAAACATCTCTATTCAAGCTGAGGACCACCAGCTGTCCAGTTTTGTATTGCTTGTCATTACTCTCCGCGCGCGGTCTACAAAGGCTAGTCACTGACTCTGCCAACCACGCTGCCCTGTTCCCTTACCTTTCCCATTCGCCACTCGGTTTCTTTCTGCTGCCGTTCTGCTGTTTCTACTGTCGTCTTACCCTTGTCTTCACCTCAACCCGTCGCCTTCACCTCATTCTCGCTCAGATACGCGGGGTACTCGACGTGTTTCCGCAAGGAGGCGGGGTCGCACGGGCGGGACACGCTGGGCATATTCCGCATCCACCAGTTTGAGAAGGTGGAGCAGTTCGCCATTACCAGCCCCAACGCCACCGACTCGTGGGAGATGCACGAGCAGATGCTCAAGAACTCGGAGGAGTTTTACCAACAGGTGGGTGGCTACATTGGGGGCATTCGACGCTGGGATGGTGTTGAACCAACATTTCGATCTGCAAATTTAGTTGGCAAGTGATTAGCCCTTGCCCAACCGAGGCAAATGTGCACTCTTGTTGAATTCTGGCAGCAGCAGCTGCAAGAGCCCAATGATGATCCTTGTCTTAACCACACTGAAGGACGTGTGCCAAGGGGTGGCCCTCCCAGTCTCCGCTCCTCCCTCTCTCCTCGCCCGTCCCCTCCTCCTCGCCCTCCTCCCTGTCTTTTCCGCCTCTCATTCATGGCATTACCACCACCACCTGTTCCTTTGTCTTGTTCCCATCATTCTTCCGCCTCCATTCATTGTCGTTTTCTCCTGTGTGGGAGAGGAGAGGGGAGGTAGCGTGGCTGGTGGGGTCCGCCCCTTGGGGTTGTGCACACGTGTGGAAAAACCTGGCTAGAACTGAGGGCTTGCTGCTGCATTGGCTTTATTTCTCTCTTTCGTGCAACTCGGGTGTTTGTGGACTCTCGGATTGCAAACACTGCCAATGATTTCGTCACTTAAAAATGCCCTTTGGAGGCATGGGTTGTGTTGGTTTCTTCCGCCCTCAGGCTTGCCCACTCCTGTCCCCTGGCACATCTTCCCCTCCCCCCCTGTTCCTCTCCCCATCGTCCTGTGGGTCGTGTTTCACCCATTTCCATGCTCCTTTTCCCCTGGCTCCACCGTCCCTCCTTCCTCTCTTCTCTCACCATCCCAGCTGGGTCTGCCATATCGGGTGGTGGCCATAGTATCAGGGGCGCTCAACGACAGTGCAGCCAAGAAATATGACCTGGAGGCGTGGTTCCCGGCCTCCAAGACCTTCCGTGAGCTCGTGTCCTGCTCCAACTGCACTGACTACCAGGCCAGGCGGCTTGAGATCAGATATGGCCAGAAGAAGGTGGGTCTGTGTGGGGTGGGGTGCTGTCCCGGAGTGTGAATGTAGAGAGGTGTATAAGTATGCTTGCGAGCTTGTCTCCTGCTCCAACCGCCCCGACTATCGAGCCAGGCGGCTTGAGATCAAATACGGGCATAAGGTGTGAGTGTGTGTGTGGTGCAGTGACTGGGTAGTGAAGTTTGAAGAGTTCACTAGGTATTTTGCAAGCTTGTCTCGTGCTCCTGACAAATGCGTACCGTCTCACCTCTCTGTTTTGCCCCGCAGATGAATGAGACAACAAAGCATTACTGCCATCTGCTCAACAGCACTCTCACTGCTACAGAGCGCACCATTTGCTGCATCCTCGAGACCTATCAGACTGAGACAGGTGTTACTGTGCCAGAGGTGCTTCGGCCCTTTATGATGGGTGTTGACTTCATCCCCTTCGTAAACGCCCCCCCTAGCGCACCGGCGGATAAAAAAGCTGCCAAAGCAGGCGGGAAAAAGGAGAAGGGAGGTGGAGGAAAGAAAGCAGAAGCCCCTGCTGCAGCAGCTGCAGTGAAGGAGACTGCGGATAAGCTAGCAGAGGCTGCCATTGATGGACATAAGTAAATGAGATTTTTCACGGAAACATTAGTGCATGATCAACAACTTGTTGAGTCTGTTGGTGATTTGCTTGGCATGTGGAGCTTAGTTATCCATGCATTCATCAATGTCAGAAGTGATTCATTACAAAATCATGTCGAATTTGAGACTATAAACAAAGGTTGGAATTGAGCTGATGTACGGGATTGGGTGACTCCGGCACACAAGCGCCTGCTTCCATGATGCTGTACTCCGTTAGAAGTTTTTGTTGGTATTCTCGGATAAGGCTGTTGCGTTGAATGCTTTTTCCCTTTCGCCCCTACAAACTTTCATTACAGTACAGTTCGATTAAAGCGATCCTTTCCCAACCGCGAGTGTGCCTCTCGGCTGGTGAGCCACGTTGAATTCGCTCCCGCTCCCTCCCATCCCATTTCATTTCACTCACAGCGGATCTTCATGTTATTTTCATTTCCTTGACACTACAACGCCTTCGCGTCTCCCTGGCAGATTCGCACATACCGTTGTCTTGTACCATCGCGCATGGTCAGGCGTTCCTCTAGCTTCGGAGTTGGGTAGGATTCGTTCGCCGCCGCTGACTGTTTCGTATTGCCGAATCGTAGGCCTGATAGACTTTTGTCCCATAGAGACCGTTGACTCTCAGATATTTTGAGTATAATCACGAATCTGCTCTTGCCACGTGGCAAGAGCAAGCAGCAACAGGCTCGAAATGATGAATTTTCCCGGTGCGGCTGACGATAATCATGCCCTGGACGAATCAATGGACACCATGGAAAGCCTGATGCTCAATCCGCCCGATCAGCATCCGACACCTGGCATGCCATCTGGAATGGCTGGAGATTACAGCAGCATCTTATCCTCCAGCTCATCGCAGTTTTACACGTCAGATCCTCTCGGCCAATCCTGGAACCCGCCTCCCCTACCCACGGATTCATCCCCCGTAACATCCGCCTCGTTTGGCGGGTTCCCTGACGTGGGCTTGGATCCGGCACCGCCGCCTTATCACGAGGCTCTGCAAGCTCCACGTGTCGGTGACGTCAGCAGCAGCGATATATTTTCAGGGCTAGGCTTATCCGCATCAGGCGGATTAGGAGGTTCGGATTTCGGGCTAGGCATGCCCGCAGGTGGCGCCGACATTCATGGCGGAATCCCCGGCGGGGTCTTTCCAGGAGGCATTGGGGGGTTCCCAGGTGGGAGTGGTGGGCCAGAAGCGGCTTCTGCGGCGGCAAATGCGGCGTCTCTTGGGGGGGCAGCGGTTGGTACAGTACCAGGCCAAGTGACTGGCGAAAATGGCGGCAGCGGCGGCGGCGCTAGTGGCGGTAAAGGACAAGTGATGCCGAACGATTTTATAGACGTGAGAGTAGTAGGTTCCAAGAAGCTGCAGGAGGCGGGCGGCTCCATGATTCCCGGAGGGGGTTCTTACGTGGCGTATGTGATTGAGACGAAGACGAATGTGCCTGAATACGGGGCCCCATCTGCCCGCGTGGAAAGGAGATTCCGCGAATTTGTCGCCCTGGCTGACAGGTACACAGGTTCGGTTCTGCTCGGTTCTGCTCGGTTCTGTTCGGTTCTGTTCAGCTCTGTCCGCTTCGGTTCTGCTCTCTTCGGGTGTTAGTGGTGCTGCTAATCTTGTGCGGCCGGACAAGAACATGGTGGAGAGAAGAGTCAGGTGCTCCAGGGGGCGGAGGAGAGTCAACCTCCCTCTGGTCCCATCTTTCCCTCTCGTCCTTCTCCTCCCTACCGCAGTCTGGGCGAGACGCATCGCGGGTATTCCATCCCGGAGCGGCCGGACAAGAGCGTGGTGGAGAGTCAGGTGCTGTGCTCCAGGGGGCGGACTCAAATTTTCCTGCCTGTTCCCCCTGGCGTCCTCTCCTCTCTTTCTTCCCGTTCTTCCTTCTCCTCCCTTGACCAGATTGGCCGAGACCCACCGCGGGTACTTCATGCGGGTGCGGCCGGACAAGAACGTGATGGAGAGTCAGGTGGTGCAGGGGGCGGAGATGAGATGACTCAACACCCGCCGTCTGTTCCCCCTGTCCTGTCCTGTAATTTCATCTCTTTCTTTTCCAGACTCGCAGAGACGCACCGCGGTTACTTCATCCCGGTACGGCCGGACAAGAACGTGATGGAGAGTCAGGTGCTGCAGGGGGCGGAGTTTGTGAAGACGAGGCAGGTGGAGCTCGATAAGTACGTGCAGCGCCTCGCACGCCACCCTGCCATCCGCCGGTACGTGTGAATGGCCTTTAGAGCCCCTCTGGGTGCTGCGCTGGGTTGAGCTTGTGAAGACGAGGCAGGTGGAGCTCAATAAGCACATGCCGCGCCTGGCCCGCCACCCGCCACCCTGAGATTCGCAGGTAAGATTCATTCTCTTCTTGTTTGAGCCCACGTGGGACCCACGTGGGACCCACGTGTGAGTGACCTTGGGAGTCCACTTGGGAGTTTGTGAAGACGGGGCAGGTGGAGCTGGATAAGTGCGTGCAGCGCTTCACACACCACCCCGCCATCCGCACGTATGGGACGATGGATGGGGATGAAAAAATGGGATGAGTGAACGTGGCTTCTGCTCGCCCTCACCCTCCCCCTCCCCCTCCCCCTCCCCATCCTCCCCCTCCCTCCTCTCTCCGCCTCCAGGAGCAGGAATGTAATTGCCTTTCTGGCTTCCCTTTCCCCCTTAACCCCCCGTTCCCCCCTTCCCTTGCCTTTCCCCCTTAATTGCCTTTCTGACTTCCCTTTCCCCCTTCCCCCCCATTCCCCCCATCTTCTCCCGCTTCCTTTCTTTCCCCCTCTGCAGGAGCGCGGATTTGATTTCCTTCCTGACGTCATCCGAGAGATTTCAGCCCGCCTCGTCAGTAGACATCGCTTCCCGCGTACTGGAAGGTGCCGTGAAGCTTCCCCAGCAGCTGTTTGGGGCGGCAGACTCCATCACGCCGGCAGAAGCTGCCAAACCGGCGGGCGGCGGGAGGAACCTTCTCAGAATGTTCAAGGAGTTTGGGCAGTCCGTGGCGAACGATTGGACGGGCAAGCCGCCAGCTGTCAGTGGTTCCACGTCAGCAGCAGGGGGAGGTGGAGGAACGTCCACGTCAGCATTAGAAGCAGGAGCAGGAGCAGGAGCGGGAGCAACAGGCGAAGAATCCGGAAACTCCAGCGGAAAGGGACAAACGGCGCCGACCGCAGCGGAGGTCGAGGCGGACGAGGCGCGGTTTGGTTCGGCCCGAGCCAAGCTGGCAGACCTGGACAAGCACCTGGCCGAGGCTACAGCCGGGGCGGTGCAGATGATGCAGGCCCAGGACGGCTGTAGCCGCATTGTGGGCTCCCTGGGCATCACGTTCGGGTCCCTGGCTAAGCTGCAGGGGCAGCGCCTGGCGGAGGGGGGCGCAGGGGGCGCAGGGGGAGGCGCAGGGGGAGGGGTAGGGGTAGGCGGAGGCGGAGGGGGAGGGGGAAGTGCAGCTGGAGGGGGGCCGGAAGGTGGAACTAGTTCGGAGGCAGGGAGAGGAGGCGGGGATAAGGGGGTGGGGCAGCGGGAGCGGGCGTTTGTAGCAGAGTGTCAGAGCGTGGGCAAGGGTATGGTGCGCAGTGCCCAGCTGTCACACAGCGTGGTGGAGAGAAACAAACGCACTCTGGTGAGATGGGTTGGGCTGGGTTGGGCTGGGCTTGGTTGGGTTGGGTTGAGTTGGGTTGGGTTGGTTTGCCTAGACAATGGCATGCCAGTCAGCCCTCCCTCCCTCTCCTCTCCGCCCTCCTCCTTCCTCATCAGTCCATCCTCCAAGAGTACCATAAGACAATGGTTGCCCCCTCCTCTTCCCCCATTTCTTACCCCACTTCTTACCCCCCTTCTTACCCCCCTTCTAACCCCACTTCTTACCCCCCTTCTAACTCCACGTCTTACCCCCCTTCTTACCCCACTTCTTACCCCCCTTCTTACCCCCCTTCCTACCCCACTTCGTACCCCACTTCTTTTCTTACCCCGCCCATCTCTCCCCATCAGTCCATCCTCCTCGAGTATCACAAGACAACAGCTGCCGCCCGGACGGCCCTCGCCGACCGGTCCCAGGCACTGCTGACGTGGCAGACACTGGAGAGCGATCTAGGCGGCAAGAAGACAAAGCTGGACCGGTTGGGGTCGGTGGACGGATCAGATCCTGCCAAGCAGAAGAAGGCTCAGGAGTTGCAGAGGGAGATTCAGGCGCTTGAGAAGGCTAAAGAGGCTGCTATTAACGAGTACAGAAAGATCACTGTGAGTCCACATATCATGTTTCTTCAACGTCAGGTGCACTGTTGTTAGTTTCCAACCCGACTCCGAAGCAGGGCGGCCTGCGACAAACTAGCGCACTTGTCACTCCCCTGCACAAACTCCATTCCATTCTCCACGCCCCACGCCCATCTCCTTGCACCTCCTCAGGAGCGCAACCCGTCGGAGCTGCAGCGGTTTGAGAGTGAGAGGAAGCAGGGCAGCTGCGTATGGCTAGCCCGCATCTCACATGCTCAAACTCGCTTCCCCTCACACGTCACGCTTTCACCCACGCCCTCACGCCCTCTCGTTTCCCTTCACTCACAGGAGCGCAATGCATCAGAACTGCAGCGGTTTGAGAGCGAGAGGAAGCAGGAGTTTCTTGCCATGCTGGGCAATTTCGTACAGGACCAGGTGCGAGTGCGTGTCTGTTCTTGTGTCATGTGGTTGCGCTGTTTGTTCTCGTGAACACATGCCTCGCGTGTGAGAGCGAGAGGAAACAGGAGTTCCTGGCCATGCTGGGCAACGTTGTTCAAGACCAGGTGCGTGTGTTGCATTCCTGTGCTGCTATCCTTGGGTTGTTGGGAGCTGAGAGTCGGGAGGATTTGGGAGGATTGGGGAGGTTTGGGGAGGAGTTTGGAGGATTGGAGAGGAGTTGGGAGGGATTTGGGGGCGAGTCGGGACTTGGGTGTCAGGGGTGGATCTTCAGTTGCAGGATTTACCCAGATGCAGTATTCCCCGTTTCTCCATGCATCCATGCATACATGCATACATGCATGCATCCATCCATCCTTTACACATTCATCCCTCCAGGTGCTGTGTGCACAGAAGATGGCTTCAATATGGGCACCGGAGGGGGAGGATCAGCAGTTGCACGATGCGATTCGATCCAACATCCCCCCTTTCTTCAAGTGTCCATGCATGCATCCCCTTCTGCATCCCCTTCTGCATCCCTCCAGGTGCTGTGTGCTCAGAAGATGGCAGCAATATGGGCACCAGTGGGGGAGGATCGCCCGTCACAGTCCTGATTCAACTTCTTTGTTCAAGCCAACAGGCATGCTCTGCTCACTATGCCATAGTTCCAACTACGGTACCGCATGTGTGAAGACAGTTCAGACAGAGACTGCTAGTGCCAGTTACATGTATCAGTTCATGCGTGAAATGAGACGATTTTATAGGTGCCTGAAATTTACTGCCAGCCATAGGTTTGGCAGTTGAAATGGAAAGTGCTGTTGCCAGATGCAGGTACAAATAAGTCGTATTGCAGAGACTGTATTACAGGGGCTGTAACGCCTGGTTATCTGTAGTGGCGAGCTGTGTTGGTGATTGTACCGTAGAGTGGGCCTGTAATCAAACCACACTTACAGTACTAGGTCATGCAGTGTTGAGCTGCACACACCCATCAGTGGGTAGTTGTGAATTCCGTTTGTAGTTGCATGGAGGTTTTTATGTGTGTTTCTAGGACAGAGCTAATCATATGGTGTATGTATAACTAGTTGGGGATCCCATAACCTGATCCGATGCAAGTATATAATGTCCAACTGATCCCCCTTCACCTCCACCTCTCCCCCCTTCTCCCCCTTCACCTCTCCCACTCATTATCATTACCCTCCCACGGTCAAGCTTGAAAGGCAGCATTTAGGGCTGATGTCATGTCATCTATAGACCCTGATAGGGAGATGAATGAGGGAGGATTAAGGGAGGAATGGCATAAGGACTTGTGTGGATGCATGTATGGTATGGTGTGGGCACTGTGTATGGACGAGCGGTCATGTCAGAGAGGAGAGAAGAAGCATGGCAAGGCGCAGTGCAATGCTGGTGACTTCTGAGTCGACTCAAAAGCCATTGCGCATGGGCGAGGGTCACATCCGAAGGAAGGAGTGTGGCAAGGCGCAGTGCAATGCCGCCCCTCAAGAGGCGCAGTGCAATGCCGCCGCAATGCTGGTGTTGGTAACCCTTCTTCTCTTACTCGTGCAGTGTTGGTGTTGGCATCCTTGCCCTCCATCATGCGCCACCCACCTCCCATTCTTTCCTCCCCCTATCCTCCACCCCCCTCCCATCCGCCTACCCACTCACCGCCCATCGGCGCGCTTCTCCCCCTGAATGGTTACACACAGCTGCCTCGCGCCCCCATGGTGGGAAACCGCTCTAAGTAACGAGGTGACTTTTGAGTCGACTCAAAAGTCACCCTGAATGGTAACGCACAGCTGCCTCGGGCCCCCATAGTTGGTAACCGCTCCTCCCTTACTCTTGTTACGAATTTTGCTGTGCCCGTGAATATCTTCCCATCCACTCACCGCCCATCAGTGCGCTTCTCCCCCTGAATGGTAATGCACAGCTGCCTTGCCCCCCCGTAGTTACGGTGCTCGTTCAGATAGATGCCCTGCCGTGTTGCATTCGGATAATAAAGAAAGTGATTCAAAGGGAGGAGGGGAGGAAGGGGGGAGGAACAGGGTGAACAGGGATGCGATGCTTGTTCAGAGACATGCCCTGCCGTGCGAAAATTCATGGGCAAACGAGATGGATCAGCAAGCAAGGTAACACAGTTACCACACTTGTGGATCAACTGGAACGAGACAAACTGTTATGAGATGGATTGTAGATAGAAACTATGCTCACACTCGTGAGGCGCCGCCTACCTGCTCATATGTGCCTGTGAAGAGAGCAGCTTATAACGAGTACAAGAAACGCACCTGCCATGTGCCAAGCTTGAAGCGACCAGACATGATGGGGACGGTGAGCGAGCACCCCATTAGCGATGACTTCACGTGGGCTGCAGGATGAAGTGGGGTGAGGTGGGGCGCGGTGGGGTGCGGTGGGGCACGGTGGGGTGGGGAAGAAGAAACAGGGGGTGGCAGCACGGTGAATGGTAGCGCACTTGACAGCACAAGGGCATGAGTCTGCTTTTGAGTCGACTCAAAAGGGCATGATGGGGACGGAGAGACGGCAGCAAATTAGCGCGGACTTTGACGTGGGCCGCAGGGTGGGGTGCAGTGCAGTGGGGAAGAAAGAATGGGTGGTGGCAGGAAGGTGAATGGTAGCACAACGGTGTGATGGAGAGTGGTTCTGAGAGGGAGCAGGCCATGCGAGTTTCTGCGGACAGCCCATATATTTTCCCATGTGAGGTTCTGAGAGAGAAACTCACATGGGCTGCTCTAAGATATGGGAAAAAATGAGGAAGAAGAAACGACTTTTGAGGCGCCTCAAAAGTCGTCTCTTATCTTACATGGGCTGCTGTAAGATGTGGGAAAATATGGGGAAGAAGAAACGGATCAAGACAAATATAGACTGACGGAGTGGAGGAGGGAAGAAAGGAAAGAAAGGCAGTGAGAGTGCTGACCTGGCATGTCGTCATAGCCCTCGTCCAGGTGGCAGTAATGGTTGCCCTCCGGTGCAATGCGGTTGAGAGCGATAAGGTGCAACGGGGTTGCGAAGGGGGTTGGAGAGGAAGAGGAACGCACCTGGCATGTCATGTCATCATTACCCTCCCCGAGGCGACAGCGGTGATAATGGGTGCCCTGCGGTGCAATGGGTGTGTGGTGGTGACCCTGTGGTGCAAAGTGGTTGAGAACAATAAGGTGTTAAGGGAGGGAGGAAGGATTCACCTGGCATGTCGTCATAGCCCACGTCCAGGTGGCGATAATGGTTTCCCTCCGGTGCATTTTGGTTGAGAGGAAGGGAAGGGGAAGCAACGCACCTGGCATGTCATCATAGCCCTCATCTAAGTGGCGGTAATGGTTGCCCTCCGGTGCAATGCGGTTGAGAGCGTCCTCCATGTCCAGAGGCACGTCTGGGCTGGCGTTCTCATTGATGGTGAGGCTGGCGGATGTGTGCAGCACTGGGGGGTGGGGTGCGGGGTGGTGGGGGGACGCGGGGGGAATGATCGGGCGCATTTATGGGCCTGTATTATGGGGGGATGCGCCTGCATTTAAACGTTCTCGTTGATGGTGAGGCTGGCAGATGTGTGCAGCACTGGGGGATTGGGGTGGGTTTGATGGAATGGTGGGGGGTTGGAGGGGAGGAGACACGGAGGGGAGCGGGCACAAGGGAAGAAGGGAGGATGTCCGAGCTGCTGCCCATGTCCAGAGTATGTTTTTTGAGAATTCTCAAATCACATACGCTGCCCATGTCCAGAGTATGTTTTTCAAAAACATATGCTGCTGTTGAGAATTCTCAAAAAACATACGCTGCCCATGTCCAGAGGCACGTCTGGACGGGCGTTCTCGTTGATGGTGAGGCTGGCTGACGTGTGCAGCACTGGGGGGGGGTTTGGAGGGGAGGGGAGAGGTGGGGGGCGGGGAGTAGGGGAGAAGGCGCAAGGGAAGGAGGGAGGGTATGAGTGCTGTCCCTGTGTGAAGGCACGTGTGGGCGGGCGTTCTCGTTGATGGTGAGGCTGGCAGGACTGGGGGCATCGTGTTGAGGGGGGGAGAGGAGAGGAGGGAAGGGGAGGGGAGGAAGGCGACAAATACTACTGTCGGTGTCGGCCAATCTGACGAGAATGCTTGATCAACTTTTAGAACTCTGAACGCCCAGCTGAAAATTCACAATCTGGAAGCCCAATCCACCAGCTTAAAGTTTTCTTCGTGATAAAAGTGTTGTTTTGAGACGTCTCAAAACAACACTTTTATCAACTGGAAAGCCAATCCAGCAGCTTAAAGTTTTCTTTTTACAAAGTGATGCAGAGAAAGGCTGACCGAAGATATTTAGAGGCGCCTCAAGAGGCCAGCTCACCAAAGATATTTGCGATTCCGACGCGAAACTCGGAGATCTCTGGCACGGCCCGCATGATCTGCGATGTGATGATGTGGCAGCCTCTGATTGGCGCGGGAATGGGGCCATGGGGGAGGAAGGGGGGAGGAAAGCGGATGTTAGGAGGGTGGAGTGGTGAAGGGGAGGGGGAGGAGGCCAAAGGAGGGGGGGGAGGATGGAAGAGAGAGAGAGAGAGAGAGAGAGAGAGAGAGAGAGAGAGAGAGAGAGAGAGAGAGAGAGAGAGAGAGAGAGAGAGAGAGAGAGAGAGAGAGGGAGAGAGAGGGAGAGAGGGAGAGTCTGGAACAGTGGTGTCGTGCCGATTTCTGAGGCGCCTCATAAAGGAGTGGGGGGAGGATGGGGGAGAGAGGGAGAGTCTGGAGCAATGGTCTCGTGCTGAGTGTGACGTTGTAAGTCGGTCACGTGAGTGTGAATGCTGAATGCGTCTCGCCACGTGTACCGTTTGTAGGGCGGCAGCTCAATCGTCTTCTGGACCCACACCGTCTTCCCCGCCGCTTCCGCCGCCGCTGCAGCCTGAGAGGCGGAAGAGGCGGAGGGGGAGGCGGAGGGGGGAGAGGAGCCGAAGAGTGATGCGGACACGCGTGCCGGCCGGGATTTATTCCGGCGATGGTGGATTCCTACCAGCGCGGGCGGCGGAAATGCGGAGGCGGGGATAAGCGCGGAGAGCTGAGAAATCCGCGCGGCATCCGCGGCGGCGGAGTGAAACGCGCCGAGCGCGACGGAATGAGTCGCGCCGAGCGCAACGGCGGGTGAAGCCATGATGTGGAGGCGGGAGAACGCGAGAGATACTAGAGTGAGGCGTACTTTTACTTCACTCGTGCCTGGCGAGTCACGAGAAACAGAAACAGCCGAAAATGGCAGCTATTTTACGAATTTCTGAGAACACGACTGCAGCAGAAAGTGGTGTGCGGGAGAAACCCATGAGTCTTTGCTGGTGGTGTGTGGTTGAATGCGATTCGTTTGGAATCGCAGAGCGTGCAATAGCGAGTACGCAGTGGTGTTTTCGAATAATTGAACTAATGCGTGGAAACGGGACAAGAAACTGCACAAATGAATCCTGATAAATGACAAAATTAATACAGCAGAGACCTTTGGTCTGAATCACCTCGCGTTTTGAGGCGCATTCAGAAGCGTCGCATCGCGCATGGTGCCTCCGGCAATTGCCGTCGCAGCAGCTGCGGCTCGGCTCGCTTCGCCTCTCGTCGCCCTGATTCCCGGTCGACCGCTTGATCTCCTCCGTCCCCTCGACCCGCTTCGATCCCGTCCGTATTCGTCTTCCGCCAATCTCATTTCAAATCCCGTCTTTAACACTGTGCCTTCGACTAGGACCTCGTTACAGTCCCGCTCGTTACAGTTTCGCGCGTGCATGGCGCCTCCCGAGTCGCTGATCTCCGCGGAAGCCCCCGCCATCGGCGGAGACGGCGGAGATTCCGAGTCGCGCGCGATTCCATGGGGTCACCCGGAGCGGCTCGACCTGGCGATGGGCTCGCTGGTGGACGACAAGACGCGGTTCCGCAAGGATGTGAAGAAGGCGCTTCGAGGATTGACGGAGGAGCAACGCACGGCTGAAGGTGAACCTCCTTCACACTCTCCCTTCCCGCCACCACCTCTCCCAACCCCACTCCAGCCCTTTCCACCGCACTTATTCTTGCGCCCCGTCCCCCCAACTCCCCTGCTCCTGACCTCCCTTGCCCCAATCCTGCCTACCTCAATCCCCCGTATTTTCTCTGCACTCCCTCTCCCCTTCCCTCCTCCCTCCCTCTCTCCCCATCTCCCCTCCTTCCCTCCTCCCTCCCTCGAACACCCTTTATCTTCCTGATCTCTCTTCGGCGCAGACGTGGCAGTGCAGCGCCACGTGGTGCAGGCTGATTGGTTCAGGTCCGCGCAGCGCGTGGCTGCTTACATCAGCTGCCGGAAATTGAGGGAAGTGGAGACTGCTGACGTCATCAGCGACCTGCTCGGGAGAGGAGGTGAGAAGGGAGGGTGTGGGAGTGAGAGGGAAGGGGGGAGAAGGAAAAGGAGAGAGAATGTAGAACCTAGACGAGGGGAGGGGAGGGGAGCGGAGGGGAGGGGAGGGTAGGGGAGGGTAGGGGACGGGAGGGGAGAGGAGGAGAGGGGTCGTTTCTTGCTTGCTCTCGTGCATTCGTACCAAATTTGAGTCGCTTTTGAAAACCATGAAAAGCGCCAACCCCTTTTTTTTCTTACACACGCCCTCTCCCCATTGTGTCCTTCGCCTCTCAGCCAGTGTGTTTGTGCCACGTGTCATGGACAGCGAGAGCCACATGGTGATGCTGAAAATCAACTCCGTGAATGTAGTGGGGGAGGGCGGAGGGCAGAGGGGAGGGGGGGGGGGGCGGAGGGAAGGGGGGAGCGAAGGGGGACAGGGAGGGGGTGCAAGCGCAAGAGCAAGGAGCAGGAGCAGGAGCAGAAGCAGGGGCAAGAGCAGCAGAAGGGGACCTGGCGCGCAATGGGATGGGGCTACTGGAGCCCACCCTGACCCTCACAGATGGACGGTCACGATCCAACGGTGAGCTCATCTCACATTCAAGGCTCGACTTGGTGTTGCTCTAGTTTCTGTTTCCTCTCGCAAATGCAGCTTATTCCTCGACTTGGTGTTGCTCTTGCTTCTGTTTCCTCTCGCAAATGCAGCTTACTCCTCGACTTGGTGTTGCTCTTGCTTCTTCCCCTTCTCCCTTTTTTTGCCGGTTCCTCTGCCCACTCTCTTGACCCTAGGCCATTTGTGCTTTCATCTGAGGTAACCTGTAATCCCACTCTTATTGCCGCCTCCCTTCCACTTCTCATCGCCATCTACAGTGTACGGTGAACAGGAGCCGTTGGATCTGATTCTCGTGCCGGGGTTGGCGTTTGATCGCAGCGGTGGGAGACTGGGCCGAGGAGGAGGGTGAGTCACTCCCTCTCTCGGCTTCTCCCCCTGCCCCCTCTTTCTCTCCCCCCCCTCTCTCCCCCACACCCAAACCCACACCCCCCAATCCCCCACTGCCGATCCTTTTCTAGAGCACCTTTCCGTTTCTCCTGCTGCCTCCCATGCTGCACTCATTCTGCCTCTTATCCCCATCTAGTTTTGAGTTAACCCAATAATGACAAGAAAATTTGTCTCTTGGTCTCTGTTGACGCACCCATTCCTTCTTTCCCTCCCTGTGCTCTTGTCTCTCACCATCCCCCTTATTGCACGCCTCGCGAAAAGGTACTACGACGTGTTTCTTTCGCAGTACTTGGCGCATGCCCAGGCGAGGAAGTGGAAGCAACCGCTCATAGGTACGCCTCTGCTTCCTCTTAGTTTCAGAGGCAGTGCAAACATAGTTACGCCTCCTTAGCGTTACAATGATGTGGTGACATTTCTAGTCGACTCAAAAGCAGTGGAAGCAACCGCTCATATTTACGCCCCTGCTTCCTCTAAGCGTTGTTTTGAGGGGCTCAAATCAAGAATAGGTGCGGCCCTGCTTCCTTAGTGTTGTTTTGAGGGGCCTCACATAAAGCATAGTTATGCTCGTTCGCAGTACTCAACACATGCCCAGGCCAGGCAGTGGAAACAGCCACTCATAGGTACCCTCCGGTCTCTGCTCAAATCTCACACTACAATTTGTCATGTCACCTTTTGAGGCGCCTCAAAAGTTATCCTCCCGTTTCCTCTTGAATGTCACAGTACAATATGCCGTGTCACCTTTGAGTGTCACTCATATGTATGGCTCGCTTGCCAGCAACTAACCGCATTGGACTCCCATTCACCCATTGCCACCACTTCATGGCACTGGCATACAAGGCTCAAATTATCTCCCTTGTCTCTCCCTTTTACCCACCCAAACACCCTCCTTTATCCTCCCCTTCTTTCGTCCCCTCTCTTCCCCCCGAGCCGCCACCACAGTGGCATTGACCAAAAAGGCTCAGATTCTCTCCCTCCCCACGTCCCCAGGTCCCCATGTCCCCATGTCCCCATGTTCCCATGTCCTTCAATTCTTCCCTTGAATTCACCACGTTAAATTGTACCGCAGCTAACCATCTTCAACTCTCCATTCCCCTGTTGTCACCACCGCAGTGGCTCTGGCCTACAAGGCTCAGATTCTCTCCTCGCCCCTCCCTATGGAGACACCTGATGTCCCAATTTGTGGCATTGTGTGTGCTTGCACACATTGAACTGCAGCTAACCGAATCGGACTCCCTTCTTCTCTTCTCCCTTTGCCAACACCCCACCGCAGTCGCTCTGGCCTACAAGGCACAGATCCTCTCCTCGCCCCTCCCCATGGAAACATCTGACGTCCCCGTTAGTGGCATCGTGTGTGCTGACGGCTTCCTTGCACCGCATTGAACCACAGCTGACCACATTAAGCCGCTTTTATGTATGCTAGTCGTACCGCAAGCACTCAGGAGACTGTCCTGCTTGTATCGTATCCCTGTTATCGACGCTGTGGATGCTAACAAGCTGTGCAATGCGCTAACCAACATCAAGATACATACCATGCCGCACATTCAGGGGTTTCTTTGGTCGTAGGGTTTAGGGTGCCCGCACCTGTCCAACCGAAACAGTGCGGGCTGGGAGCGCACACCTCAATAGACCCCATTAAACTACGGTATATTGAGCAGTTGCAGTTAATACCAATAAACCATACCACACCTAGCAATCAGCATTCTACAGCCGTAGCTATGACTGTAGCTACTCGTAGCAGAACTGAACCACTTGGGTAGCCCCAATCCGTGCTGTCCAGGCCCCTCAGCCACATCCCACTCTCTATCAAGTAAGGCAGCCTTTACACCTGCTGCCTAACAGTTGTTGCGTTGACTAGCAAGGCAGCTCACTTCAGCAAGACCCCCCATTCCACCTCCCTCAGCCGCATCCCACTCCCTCCACACGCCCAGCACAGTCCAGACGGCCTTCTTCCTCCTTAAATCTGCCGCCTCAGATTCACTCAGGCAGTTGCTGTGTTGACTAGCAAGCCAGGCAGCTAGGTCATATGGGCAGCAACCCCCCTTCCAGCTCCCTAAGCCGCATCTTACCCTACCCTCCACGCCCAGCACAGTCCAGAAGAGCTCCCTTGTACCTGTTTTTCCATATTCACCAAGGGAGTTGTTTCTTGCATGGACTAGCTAGGCTGCTAGGTTACTTGGGCAAGCACCCCTCCTTCCAGCTCCGTTGTACCTAGTTTTCCATGTTCACCAAGGGAGTTGTTTCTTGCATGGACTAGCAAGGCAGGTCACTTAGGCAGCACCCCCCCTTCCAGCTCCCTCAGCCGCAATTCACTCTCCACATCCAACACAGTCGAGAGGGCCCCCCTTAAACCTGCTACTTCAGATTCACCCAGGCATGCAGTTGTTGCATTGACTGAAATCGCAGGTCACTTGGGCAGCACCCCCCCCCCTTCCAGCTCCCTCAGCCGCAGCTCACTCTCCACGTCCAGCACGGTCAGGCAGTCCAGAAGCTTCCTCGTCTCTTCCTGCAAACCCCAACAGATTGAGATAACGGAGGGCAGCACGAAGGGAGGAGGAGAGGCAGGCAGTGAGGGATGCAATGCAATGCTGCTGATGTTCACAGATGACTTTTGAGGAGCCTCAAAACTTGCTGCTGATGTTCACAAATGTTTCTAGCATTCTGTACACGTGCAAACCTGGGAAGGCTTTTGTAACAATAGTAGGTCGTGTGCGAACGGCTCGTGTCTCACCTTCCTCCCACCTCTCCCTCTCCTCGCTCCCACCTCTCCCTCACTCTCCCTCATCTCTCCCTCACCTCACTCTCTAACCCCTCTCCCCTCTCACCCCTCTCACCACTCTCCCCTCTCACCCCTCACCTCTTTCACCCCTCTCAACCCTCTCATCCCTCACCCTTCTCACCCCACTCACACCTCCCATCCCTCTCTCTCATCTCTCTCACCCCTCTCACCTCTCACCCGTCTCACCTCCCTCACAGGCCTCAACCCCTCCCTTCACCTGTCGCGCTCGCTTCATCTGGTCAATCGGGGCCAGCTGCCTGGGCAAGCGAAACGCACTCCCACCACTCCCACTGCCACTCGCAGCCACAGTTGCACGGGGGAAGGACTGCGGAACCCACTCTCTCACATATCTCCCACCTCTCACCACCTCTCACCTCTCCACCTCTCACATTCTCCACTCTACCTTCTCCTCTCATTTCTCTCGAGCAAGTCACCTGTCTCCCCCCCCCCCCGCCCTTTCTCACCTGGCGTGCGCGCTTCATCTGGTCGTTCGGCGTCAGCTGCCTGGGCAAGCGAAACGCACTCCCACTTCCACTCGCAGCCACAGCTGCATGGGGCGAGCCCAAGGGCGAGCCCCCCACGCTAGCAGAGCTGGCTCGAGAGGAGCTCTTCAGCCGCTGCAGCTCCTTGGTTGGCGTCACAAACACTGAGAGAGGCGGCAGCGGCGATGGCACACCCATGAAAGAGGCCTCCCCTTCAGCTGCTTCTGCTGCTGCTTCTGTGTTTCCATGCTGTGATGCAGCAGCAGACGGGTCTATCTGCGCTTCAAACTCGCGCCACACTTGGTCCAGGTCGCCCGATTCACCTCCGCTAGACCCCATCCTTTGCACAGCCTCTTCTCCCAACTCCTTCGGCTCCTCTTCATGCCCATGCATCGCTGGATTCTCATGCAACCCTTCCGCTTCCGCGTTCCCTCCCGCATCCCCATTGACCATCTCATCCAGAAGCCCTGCATTCTCCTCACCTTCCTCCTTCCCTTCCTCCTCCCCCTTCTCCTCTCCCTTCTCCTCCCCCTTCTCCTCTCCTCTCTCCTCCCATTCCCTCCCTCCCTTCTCCCCACCCTCCTCGTTTTTCCCCCCCTCCACCTGCCCCTCCACCTCACCCCCCTTCTTCTCCTCATCATCACACACTTCCGCTGTTTCCTCCTCTTCCCTTGTCTGCGCCTCCATCCTCCCCTCCCGCTCCTCCTTTGCCTCCTCCTTTTCGCCCTCCCCTGTCTCCCCATTCTCCTCCCTCATCTCCTCGCCCTCTCCCTCATCCACCTCCTCCCTCTCGCCTCCCCCTTTTTCCCTTTTCTCCTTACTCTCCTCGCCCTCCTCATCCGTCCGCTCCTTCACCTCATGCCCCTCCTCCCCTTCCGTCTTAACCAGCAACCTCTCTTCCTCCTTCCTTCCCCTCTCCTCTTCCTCTCCTTCCTTCTCCGTACTTCCATTCCCAAGCTCTGCAGCACTGCATCCCTCTCCCGCATCCTGTCTGCGAGCCTCATCCCCATTCTCAAAACAAGCTTGCCCATCCCCATTCTCAAAACAAGCTTGCCCATCCCCATGACACTCCAACGCCTCTTCTTCCACCAACTCACCCACCTCATCCCGCTCACCCCTCTTGTCGTCCTGCTTGGAATCGTCAGCCCCTTCAACACTCCCTGGAACACTCATGTCCAAGCTCCCCACATCCATAACACTCAGGTCCTTCTCATTATCTAATATTGTCTCTGTCAAAGGTTCTCTGATGTTTCCGTCTTCACGCACACCTTCGGCTTGCGAAGAGCCATCCTCCCCGTTGGTTTTTTTAAACCTCTCGTCCTCCCCACCATATTCGACCTTCTCACCCCCTTCTCCTCCCTCCTCCTGCCCTCCTCTCTCCTTCTCCCCCACGCCCTCCTCCTCCATCTCCCTATCCTCGTCTCCCCAACCACCTCTCTGCCCCTCCCCGTCCCCATCCCATCGTCCCACTGCCGTCTGTCCCTCTCCCATCTCCCCTCCCCCCAGCTCCCCACCCGCCATCTCCCCTCCCCCCATCTCCCCTTCCCCCAACTCCCCTCCCCCCATCCCCCCTCCCCCCATCCCCCCTCCCCCCAACATATCATCCGCCACCCCTTCTTCCCCCAACAGCTGCGCCCAATCCACATCAACCCCACCCACTCCTCCCCCCACTCCCATCCCCTCAAACCCTCTCAACCCTCCACCCTCTCCCCATCCCACTCCCCCTCCCTCTCCTCCTTCCTCCTCCCCCATCACAGCCATCCCAGCCTCCCACAACACCCCCAACTGCCTTCTGCACCGCTCTAACTCCCCTTCCAACCACTCTACCTCCTCCTGCTGCCGCTGCATGATCTGCCTCAGCACCTCCACCCTCTCCTCATCATAAACCGCCTTCTCCTCCAGAATCCTCTCCCGCTGCCGGGCGGCAAGGTGGGCGGCGGCTTTGTCCTCTTGCAGCCGGCGGATCAGCTCCATGCTGGCCTGGGCGGCACTGTCAGCCGCCGCCCGTTCCTGGTCCAGCTCCCTTCTAAGAGAATCTACCAACTCCATTTCATACTCCAACGCCCGGCGCAACACAGCCAAATCATCCTCATCCTCAAATTCGTCCCTTTCCTCCCCTTCCTCATCCTCTTCCGCTTCCCTCTCTCCTCCAGCCTCTCCCTCCTCCGAGTCCCCGTTCCTTCCCCTCCCTCGGTGGCCTCTACGATTCTCCTCTGCCTGCTGCTGCAGCTGTCGCTTCAGCTGCCGCTGATGCTGCTTGAGAATCTTGAGGAACTTTGCCCGATCGATCACCTCCTCTTCCTTCTCCTCCCCCTCGTCGCTCTTGCCCTTCTCTCTCTCATCCTTCACCGTATGACGCAACCCCTGCTCCTCCTGCCCCTCCTGACGCATCTGCTCCTCCTCTTCGTCCTGCTCCTGCTCCTCCTGCTCCTGCTGCTCCTCCTGCTCCTCCTGCTCCTCCTGCTCCTCCTGCATCCCATTTTCAGTCGATGCGAGAAACTGCAGTTTCCGCCATTGTCCCCCTTCCTCCTCTTCCTCCATTTCCTCCTCCTCCCGTTTCTCCTCCGCCTTGCTGCCTCTCCTTTCCACGCCCCCTTCCCCATCACCTGTCACACTCTCAGCAGCACCACCACCACAAGCTGCTGCGGCCTCCAAAGTCGACAGGGCCGTCATTTCTGTTTCCCCATCCTCTGCCGCTCCGTCTTCTCCCTCTCGCCCCTTAGCATTCTCAGGAGAACCTACACACGACGTCTCACCTTCACCTTCCCTACTCTCAGCGGTCGTTTCCCTTTCCACACTCGACCTGGCTCCCCTCTGGTCCCCCTTCTCCTCCTCCCCCTCCTCCTTTACTGAGCTCATCTGTCTCACCATTCTCCTCATCCTCTCCTCCTCTCCACTGCCCCTCCTCTCCCCCTCCCCAGTCACCATTCCCCCCTTCTCTTTCCCCTCTCCCACCTCCTCCTCCTTCTCCTCCTCTTCCTCCCCCTCCACCCGCTCCCCCTGCCCTCCTCTGCTCCCTCCGTGTCTCGCCATGAACCCAGCCAGCAGATTGAAGAGAGACGCTTCAGTCATGTGCCTGTACGACCGCCGTCCAGCCACCCTCAATCGCACGCCCCTATCGCCCTTCGAACCGCCACCACAGCCAGCAGCACCGCCAGCAGCACCGGCAGCAGCACCAGCACCAGCAGCAGCGCCAGGTGAAACAGGCTCTGGTCCTCCCATCCATTGACCTCGCCTCCCTGACCCCTTCCCAGGTGTTCTCCCGGGTGTTCTGCCAGGTGTTCTGCCAGGTAACCTGCGTCGTTCTAGTGGCAGGTGGAGGGTTGGAAGGGCAAGACCACGCCGAGCACTCATGCCTTCTGTAGCACCATCCGTTACCGCCACGGATTCCGCAGCTTCTGGAACACATCCTTCCGCTGTAGTCACACTTTCTGCAGTGCCACCCACCTCTCCTGAACCATCTCCTTCCTCTATAATCACGCTCTCCTGTGTACCAGCTCCGTCCCCTTCTGTACTCGTGCATTCCCCTGCAATACCTCCCTCCGTTACAGTCACACCTCCCTTTTCTCTCTCTATGATCACATTCGCCTCAGCACCTTCAGAGGCGGTCTGCTGTTCAGCCCACTTGGCTTCTTTGTCCGCGTCTGCCTGAACATCACTCCATAGGTCTTCAGAAACGCTCTCCTGCGTTTCGGCAAGCAGCGTTGCATTAGAATCCGTCACAACAGAGGCAACACCACCACCACCGGCAGCAGCAGCAGCAGCAGCAGCAGCAGCAGCAGCAGCAGTACTAGCGCAAGCATCACCAGAACCACAAGCACTATCACCACCACTGTCAGCGACACCAACACCAGCATCACCAGCACTAGCAACCTTCCCATTCCCACCCAGACCTGCTAACATTCCTCCTGAGCCTTCTCCTGGGCCTGATTTCCTCCCTGCCGCTCTTTCCCCTTGCCTAACCTCCTCTGCCCTCTCCCCCCTGCCTCTCCTCCACTCCACTTCCATCTTCCCCATCTCCTTACCCCACGCACTCAGAAGCGCACTTACCAGCTCTTCCCTCCTCTCCCCTCTCCTCTCCTCCTCGTCTCTCCTCAAATGCTCCACCACTGCTTGTGCCAACCCCTCATACCCCTCCTCCCTCTCCTCTCTCTCCCTCCCTCTCTCCCTCTCTCTCTCCCTCTCGCCCTCCCCCTCTCTCTCCTTCTCCCTCTCTCTCTCCTCCAGAACCTGCTGCGCCAACTCCCGCCCGAGTTCTCTCATTTCAGTCACCTTCGTTACAGTCACCAGCTGCTCCACTCGTTGCAGCCACGCCTCTCTCTCCCTCCCCCACTCCTGCATTACCCTCTGGATCAAATCCTCTTGCTCCTGCTGCTGCTTCTCCTCCTTTACCTCCTCTTCCTGATGTTGCTCTTGTTGATGCTGCTGCTCCTCCTCCTTCGCCTCCTCTTCTTTCTGTTGCTCCTGCTGCTCCTGATGTTGCTCCTGCTCTTCTTCCTGCTGCTTCTCCCCCTCCTCCTCTCTTACCTTTTCTTCCGTTTGCTGCTGTTGCTGCTGCTGTGCTCCTGTGCGTTGCTGATGCTCCTGCTCCTGCCCCTGCTCCTGCTCCGGCTGCTTCTGATGCTCCCGCTGCTGCAGCGTCAGATATTCCTGTTTGCTCTGCGTCAGCAACGCCGACAGCCTCTCGACCAGCTCACCCACCAACGCCGCCCTCTCTTCCGGCCTCTCTTGCTCCCTCTCCTGTCTCATCCTCTCTTCCTCCAACTTTCGCTCCTCTTCCTCCTCCTCCCTTGTCAATTCCGCTCTCCTATTAATCTCCTCCATTCCGTCGCCTCTTCCCCCCTCGTCCTCCTCCCCTTTTCCACTCGCCTCCACCTGTTTGCTGACTCCCTCTACCATCATCTTAATCTCCATACTCTCCCTTCTCCCTTTCCTCTCCCCATGTTCACTCCTCCCCTCAACCACGCCGGATACGACCTCCACCAGTTCCTCACGCATCTTCACCACTTCTGCTGAAACCACCTGAACCACCTCCGCTGAAAGCACCTGGAGAAACTCCTGCCCGTCATAGGTCTTCCCACGTTCGCTGCTGCAGCACGGCCTGACGTCACCTGCCGTGTTGTTGATTGGGATTTCCAGACTGAATGTGACGTCATCGTCGTTTTTAGCAAGCACGGTGACGTCATCAGCGGAAGTTGTTCTTATCGCGTCCACGGGCTTATCTTGAGGCGGTTCAGCGGGCAGAGAAGACACCTTCGCGGAATCTTCGGTTCTCAGGTAGTCGCTTTGTCCGTCAGCCGCGCGAGGCTCGGAAGGTTCGCGGTCGAATGACACGTGGCGGAAAGAAAACCTTGCCACGTGTAACAGCCAGACCGCAACGGCGCCGCAAGCAGCGCGAGCGAGGAGGAGAGCCGCGAAGAGGAACTGGATAAACTCGTCGACGACTGACGGGGCAGATGGTGAATCCCATGGCGACGAGTAAAACACGATTCGCACGGCTGGCAGACTGACGACATTGGCGACGTTGACGACATTGACGACACTGACGGCGGCGACAGAGCTGAGTTGATGCATTGAATGGATTCACGGTCTACGACAATCGGTCTGTTACAATCTGTCTTCGTTAGCCCTACTGGGAGAAAACAGAGATAAGGCCAACGGCAAGTTGCGACTTGCGCTTGACGAGCGTTCGACGCCAAAGTCGGTCACGCGCTACGCCGTGAATTGCAGCCGTCGCGCGCTTCCATTGTTCGACCGACAAGCACGGATGACGATGCAGCAGGAGAAGCCAAGAAACAGAAAACTATTCAGGAAGAAAATAAGGAGTGGGACGAAGGTGAGGGTAGGAATGAGTTCACGCGAGCGAGAAGAGTGAGTGAGAGGACTGAGGTTGCTATGGTACATAGCACTGAGGTAAAGACTGACTGAGGTCAAGAAAACTTGCAGAAGCAGAACAACAGAGGAGAAGAGACGAACAGAAGCACCGCACAATAACGTACCACACCGTAGCATTTGCTTCTACCACCATTCCCGCCAGTTCTGATTTCCCGTTGGGGTGTACCAGCCTGAGGCGTTTGAGGAAGCTGTAGCGGAGCTTTGCGATTTCTCGTTAACGGAGTTACAGGGCCCACGAAAGGCGACGAACGTGGGCGATTCTGGAGTCTGGTCTGGGTCCCTGCGTGGTTACGTAGGGCTAATACAATTGGCTGACGCTAGTGCTACCATATCCGTGCGAACATCGTGGAGGGAATACGAGCGACGTGCGACGATGTGGACAATGTGTACACTAGTCGTGATGCCTCTGATTGGAGAACGCCGCAAGAAGCATGCGACTTTTATGACGTGGCTGCACGACAAATGAAACAAGCGTCCTGAAGATACGAGAATTGATACTCGTGGGGTGTGACTCGATAAGACTGCAATGACCGATGTGTCTAAGCATGTTGCATACAAAACCTTTTATTCTCATCATCTTAACAGTACAAGATCTCAAAGAAGGGACTCTTCAAACCCCTTCCATATTATCTTGAGCTACCATCAGAAGACGTAGGTTTTACTGAAGATTCCTCCACGACTTCAACAATGACAACCTGTAACAGCAAAACAATCAGGTGTAAAATGCGTTGAAACAAAGCACCTATGTTATGCCCCAAAACAACATCCCCAAGCGCAATAAAAAACTCACCTCTTCCGTCCGTGCTTCCTTTTCTTCCCTCTTCTCATTTGGTGGCAAGACAACAGCCTCCACAACTGGTACTTGCACCTCAGCCTGCACAGGTGCAGCTGGTTTCACCCCTTGCTCAGCTGCCGCCTTGGCTGCACGTCTTGCCTTCTCCTCCTCCTTCCGCTTCCGGAACCTGTCGATAGATCCATCAAGATGGCGAAAGGGTGAGGCACGGGCAGGAAAACAGGAAGAGGGGAAGGAGTGGGGGAGACAGTGGGGAAGGCGTGGGGGAGACAAGAGGGGAAGGAGTGGGGGAGACAAGAGGGGAAGGAGTGGGGGAGACAAGAGGGGAAGGAGTGGGGGAGACAAGAGGGGAAGGAGTGGGGAAGACAAGAGGGGAAGGAGTGGGGGAGAAAACAGGGGAAGGAGTGGGGGAGACAAGAGGGGAAGGAGTGGGGGAGACAAGAGGGGAAGGAGTGGGGGAGACAAGAGGGGAAGGAGTGGGGGAGACAAGGGGGGAAAGGGAGGACGGGAATGGAGGAGGGGATGAGGAGCAGGGGAACTGATTAGAATAGACACCCTGAATTATCATTTTCTGCATACCAGCTAAATCGCAACCTGCTTCTTGTCCTTGACATCTCATCCCCACTGTTGGTGCAGCCATTCCCCTTCCACCCTTCTCGCTTCCACCTCTATCCCACCCCCTTTTTTCCACGCCAGGGCGCTAATGAATCCCAATCGCAAACAGTAACCCAGTAACCCAATACAGATAACTACCTGAGAAAAATAATTTCCTCACCTCTCTGCCCGTTCCCTGTCCTTGTCATCCACATTGACTGCTGCAGCTGCTCCCCCATCATCCCCCACCGTCCTCCCCGCCCGCTTTGCTGCCTCTGCCTCCTTGCGTTTCCGGAACCTGCAGCAGGTAGCAGAAGAAACGAGTTGTCACTGGTTTCACTCCCAGCACCGCCTCCAACAATGCCACCTCTTCCCCCCACTTTTCCCTCTCTGCCTTCTCATCCTGCAGGTTGACCATAAAACTTCTCAAAATCGATCCGGCTCTCTCCCTCTCACCTCGCAGGCTCTCTCCTCTCCTCCTCCTCCTTGCTCAGCCCAATGGGAGCAACCCCAGCAGATGGCGCCATCACTGCTGGTGCAGCCACAGCAGCAGACGCAGCAGACGCAGGGGCAGCAGAGGCAGCATCACTTGACATTCCCTTGTGATCTCTTCTCACCTTTCAGCGCGGGCCCTCTCCTTCTCCTCCTCCTCCTTGCTCAGCCCCATGGGAGCAGTCCCAGCAGACGGGGCCGTCACTGTTGGTGCCGCCACAGCAGCAGACACAGCAGACGCAGTGGTGCTGGGCGGTGCAGAGGGCTCCACAAGCCCCACGTCAATGACCCCATCTGCCCCCACCACCCCTGCTGCTGCTGCTGGCATCGTAGCTCCCCCCATCTTGCGCAGGTAGACCGTCTGTCCTGTGCTCAGCACGTTGTTCACAAACCTGAGGTTAGGGAGAGGAGGGGGAGGGGGGGGATGGGAGGCGAGTGAGAGATTACAGATAGGGAGCGGCACCAAGGGCGTGGCACCCCCCATCTTGCGCAGGTAGACCGTCTGTCTGGTGCTCAGCACATTGTTCACAAACCTGAGGTAAGGGAGAGGAGGGGGAGGGGGGGGATGGGAGGCGAGTGAGAGATTACAGATAGGGAGCGGCACCAAGGGCGTGGCACCCCCCATCTTGCGCAGGTAGACCGCCTGTCTGGTGCTCAGCACATTGTTCACAAACCTGAGGTTAGGGAGAGGAGGGGGAGGGGGGAAGGCAGGCGAGTGAGAGGCAAGATACCAGGGGCCGCACCAGGGGCGTGGCTCCTCCCATCTTGGTCACATACACAGTCCCGGATTGTGAACAACGTGCTGAGCTCAGCATGTTGTTCACAATCCTGAGGGCGCCGACAGGTGGTGTGAGCAATCCTGTGGGGCGAATAGGGGAAGAGGAAGAGAGGGTATGTACACAGAGGGTTTGGAATAGGATGCACATTGTCGAGTTCAATTCCTATTAAATGAGATTAACCAGCACCCACCAAGAGTATCCCCAATATGACGTGGGTGAGTCAACCCACCAGTAGAGCGAGAGGCCGGAGGGCACCGTGAGGGAAAACCAGCCGATCATGAGCGGCAAGAACTTGAGAATCGCCTGGCTCTGCTGCGTTGCCGGGTCCTGGTGGGTACGAGTGGGGCAGTAGGAAGCAGCGGGTTTTGGGAGAGGGGAGGAAGGGGAGAGGGGAGAACAGGGTGGATTTTTGAGTCGCCAAGAGACAGGATGTGAGCGTGTGGGGGGAGGAAAGAGGAGGTGAGGAGGAGAGAGGAGGCGGAGTGGGGAAGGGAAGGGTAGAGATGTCCGAGCAACAATGTGAGGGCGGAAAAAGAGACAACAATTTGGTGTCGCAGCGGTAGATGCTTTGGTGAAGAGTTCAAACGCAAGTTTGAGAACTACTGGCAGCTTTGAGCAGAACCTGAAGCATTGTTGGTGCTGGCAGCAATGGCGGCAGCACTCACATCTGTCTGTGGCGGCTGCATGATCTGCATGGAGAGCGCCTGTGACACCACCAGCAGCACTGGCAGCACGAGGTACGCTGCTGTGGCCTCCCAGCCGAGAGGGGGGGGCGCCATCCTGCAGTGTGGTTTTGGTTGGGATGGACGGTGACGGGAGATGAAGGGGGAAAGAGAAGGAGGGGTGATTGAGTTGTGAAGGGAAGGGGCAATGGGGAGAGAGGGATGAGGGAAAGCCATGGCCATCACTGGCAGCACGAGAACAGCGCCAGAAAGACGTTGTGTCCTCCCAACCCAGAAGAGGACGCCGATTTAATACAGTAACACACTCGTAACACATGCGACCGCACATGCTGACAAGAAAGACCAAAAAAAAAAAAAAAAAAAAACGTAGCTGTGACTATAGAGACGAGATGCTCTGAAGCAGCAGCGTGTGCTTACAATGAAGGGGAAGAGCCAGGAGATGCCAGAGCCTTCGACGGTGGGATCGATGGACGTGGGGCCAGCGAGAGATGGGATCCAGAAAAAGCCCTCCGTCAACACGCCCTGGTTATGGGACGGGATAGGATGGATGGAGCACGTGTTAACGCAGGATGAGGTGGTGGGGAGCGAGAGATGTGGGGACGTGGGGGGGTGGGGGAGGGAGGCGGGGGGGGAAGGAGAGAGAGGATATCCAAAGATCCGTGAACACGCCCTTTTGATGGGCCAGAGAGGTGGTGGTGGTGGTGCAGAGATAAAACGAGTCCGGTAAAGGTTCTTGCAGGGCAGATGATAGTGTGACGGAAGCAGGAGGCACAAGGAAGCGCTCCTTTGGAGATGGAAAAAAAGGGAGGGGAGTGGGGGGGGTTGGGGAGAGGGGATAGCGGAAAACGAGCAAAGCGCTTTGCTTACCTCCTTAGCGACATTACTAAGCGCCTGGTAGAGGCCGATGAAGATGGGGAGAGTGGCGAGCGTGGGCAGGCAGCCTGTGATGGGGGTGCGGATGGGGATGGAGTTTGGGAAGGAATAGGGATGGGGATGGGATGGGATGCTGATAGGAGCTTCTGTGGTTGATGGTGCATTTCCTCATTTTCATACTGTGTCGTACAATCCATGTTGTGTCCTGGCTATGTTAGTTCATACTTGACAAGAAAGACAGGAGCATCCGCGCTGTGAGCTAGATTAGTTCCTCTGGTCGTCTGACACAGTGCCTATATTAGGTTTCTTAGGCGTCAATTTCCACCCTTGGTATGTAAAAGCGTCGCCTCACCTGCAAGAGGGGGTTGACACCCGCACCGTTGGTACACCTTGGCGGTCTCCTTTTGAGGCGCCTCAAAAGTCGTAGCCTCACCTGCAAGAGGGGGTTGACGCCCGCGCGTTGGTACACCTTGGCGGTCTCCATCTGAACGTGCTCCTGCTCGCACCAGCCTGTGGAACCTTTACTGTGCCCATATAACCTCCTGGCCTCGTCAGGTCAAGCAGCAAATCGTCTCACCTGCGAGGGGGTTGACACCCGCGCGTTGGTGCACTTTCGCCGTCTCCATCTGGATGCGCTCCTGATACCCGCGTACTGCGCCTGGATGGCCTTCAGCTGCGGCGCCAGGCTCTGCACTCGCTACTCTTCGCAGAATTGCGAGTCGCTGCTGGCAGGATCATTGGACGAATTTCCAGGGTGCTACATCCTTTTCCCCATCCTGCCCGTGTGCTCCCTACCTGCCCGATTCCAATCTCCTTGCTTCAATTTTGGTAGCCCGTGACAAAAACTATCCTCACCTGCGAGGGGGTTGACACCCGCGCGTTGGTACACTTTCGCCGTCTCCATCTGGATGCGCTCCTGGTCGCCCGCGTACTGCGCCTGGATCGCCTTCAGCTGCGGCGCCAGGCTCTGCATCGCGAGCGTCGACTCCACCTGCTTCTTCGTCAGCGGAAACGTCACCACCTTGACGATGATGGTGAGCAGAATGATGGAGAAGCCGTACGCGTAGGGCACCTTCAGAGAGACCAGACCCTCCTCTAAGACCTGCCCGGGGTGTGAGATGGGAGGGGGAAAGGGGGGAAATGGGAACGGCGGAGCATGATGGCAATTATCGTCAGCGGAAACGTCACCATCTTCACCATGATGGTGAGAAGAATGATTGAGAAGCCGTACGCGTAGGGCACCTTCAGAGAGACTAGGCCCTCCTCTAAGATCTGCCTGGGGTGCGAGATGGGAGGAGGGGAAGGAGAGGGGGGTGGAGGGGGGTTGTGAGCATGATGAAAATTATCGTCAGCGGGAACGTCGCCAACAGGACGATGATTGAGAAGCCGTACGCGTGCGGCACTTTAAGAGAGACCAGGCCCTCCTCTAAGACCTGCCAGGGGTGAGTGTGATGAGAGAACGAACCAGGGTCGGGGGGTGGAGAGAAGGAAGGTCGAGCAGCGCGACATCTCCATCAGACACACCAGCCACTCCTCTAAGACCTTGATAACAATGTCGAAGCCATACTTTAAGAATGCTTCACAAGTTTACGCTTGTAAGACAACTTGACATTGTTGTTAAGCGGATGATGGAGCTATATGGACGGCATTTTGAGAGAGACTAAACCTCCTCAACGACCGCAAGGTACTGAAGCCCGGAGAGCCGGAAGATTGAAGACTGAGGACGAACCGCCTGCCTTGCAGTTCAAAATCCTCATGAATAATACCCCATTTAGTTTATTTACGTTGTGAAAACTGTGAAATGACAGTGTCTACTCTGTGGATATGCCACTGTCGTACCTTGAGAAAAGCTTCCAGGAGATCAGCAAGGCCTGAGAACCAGCCACGATCCTGCACCACCTCAGCAGCAGCTGGTGCCACGTCAGCAGCAGCGTCCGCAACCGCGAATAGAAGATTATGTGCGGCTATAGATCCTGCGGAAACCACGGCATCAATACTGGAAGGGTCCAGGACCGCTCTAGTGACAATGCTTCTGGATCGCTTCTGTGACTGTAACGGGCGTAATTGCCGTAAGGGAAGCCCAAGACCATGGCAGCCGGTTTGCAGTCTAAGCCCAGACGCTGACGTGGCTAACGTGGCCCTAGGTACTGTCGAAATTGCCATCGGTGCAGGATGCAGCAGGACCCGATCCATGGCGCCGAAAACCGACGAGGGACGAAAACTGCTGCCGACGTCAAGTCGATCGGACAAAGGGATCGAGAATAAGTGACCTAATGCTGTGCTGCAGATGTATCACCAGGAGCACTTGAGCTACCGTGCTCAAATATTTTCACCCTGTAAGTGAAGGCCAGTGAATCAGGTCCCAAACAGGTCATAGGACAGGACTCCCCTTCCCCACCACCATCCCACCACAGCCCAGCAGGAATCTGAGGCATCTGGTAACTTCTAGGGGACGGGAGCTGGCTGGAGGTGGCATGGCATTCACCCCTGGCTTTTGACGTAAGCGTCTACTGGCTGCGTGACACATAGGTATGCCAGATAAGGGTTTTGAAAGCGTGTGACACGTGGCCGTACGGCTTATACGCCGCTCCTTTATTATCACATTCAGAGATACATCCTCGACATGTGTGTGACAATGTACTTCGCTTCCTCGGCCTTGTTCTGTGGCGCTAACTCAGAGTAGCTAACTCTGAGTTACCGAGCCGTGTAGGCTTGGGCGAGTACACCGGCAATTAATCATTACGCTCGTGTGAATGTTTGAGTTGTAACTCACCTTGGTGATCTGTGGCCCCTCCTAACTCTGAGTTGAGGAAGTTTCGTAGGGGTTCACCAAGCTGTTCTGGTTAAAATTTTCTGACTCAACCGTAAGTGCCGCCCCTTCCGAAAAGAAATGTGCGAAAGGGTAACCATGGGGCAAAACATTGCAACTTCACGCAACACAGCGTGGGGACTAGTTGGAAAGAACCAAATGTGGGCAATGTCGGGGTAGCCCCTCTCGAGCCGTACACAGAGTAGTGTAGCCAACTTTCACAAAAAAGCCTGAGAAGGGGAAAGCACTAACTCTGAGTTAGTTGCCCGTGAAAGAAGATTCGATGCATGCTTCCTACGGAGCGTACTCTGAATTGTTACTTTGCGTATTTGGAACCCTTATTTGCTAACTCTGAGTTAGCTGGCACGGTGTGATTGTAACGTACACACGTGTGAGGGTTGAGTTAATGAAGCCACTACGAACCCAGTCAACTCTAAGTTAAGGGGCCACAGAACAAGGCCCTTGTCTTTCGCAGGCAAGCAGCACATCCGTGGCTGCAGTTTCTCCATCACAAATTGTGGCAATTTACGATGAAGCCACGTGCACGTCCAGCTCCAGCGCTGGTTGGAAGGCTTGATGCCCTATTTGTGGGAGAGAGATCTCTTATTGGCTAAAATAAATCAGTGAACCTCGCCACGAGCTTCGGAGCTTTTTGTGTGCTGCCAGCTGAAGCACTTATGAGTGACTTGTGTCTGAAGAAAGCGAAGCCGTTGACCAATCAATGATATCCACGACTTCTTCGCTCAGAAGTTCGTTAGCCGCTAGCCGGCGGTTTCGCATTCTAGGTGTTCTGTCGTCTAGGATGCCCGTTCTCGGTGTACGACGTTTCTGGGGTCGTCCAGATTCATCCAAACGGCGCATCTGAAAAGAAGCATTTCCCGTCGCAAGAAACGTCGTCGCAGCCGCGACAACTCACCAAGGTTGCCCTATAAATTTATGATTCCCAATGAGTTCACGAGAAGTTACCAGCTCTTGAAAGCACATCAAAATATCGTCTTCCTTCGCTGCACTTGTACACAAGCCAGTTGCTGCTCAGCAGAACAAAATCTGGTGAGCGTCTGTCATAATCAATTTCCTTCGTTGTCGTTCTACTTCCTCCTTCTCGACGTTAGCACGGTTCCCTTCCGCCAAGGGACGCTTCGTGTTACGACTCCCAAGTCACCTCTCTTGAGGGAGCTATTCGTGCTTACCGCAGACAAGGTACTTGCATTTAGTTCTGAAATTCGGGTTTGGATTGTGAGATTGTCTGCAACTATTCTCCATTTTTACCCCCTTCGGCTGTTTTCTGCTCTCAGATTTCAGACACTTCTTGCGTGCTTACCCAGCACAAAGTCGGAATGGCTGGAGCTATCGCTCAGTCGTCGCTCATCTCCGCGAGCGTGTTCCTCCATGGCGGTAACAAGTCTTCGCGACGGTCACGGCGCTCGTCGTCAACCGTCGCCAGCGTCGCAGCTCCTCGCTCGCTTCAATCCTTTTCGGGACTGAGGCGTCCCGGCCAAGCTGACGTGGCACTCAGGGGCTCTTCGTCGTTGGCAGCGATAGTCGCGAAGCAGACTAAGGCCGGCTCGTCCAGCGCCGCCAAACGCGGTGTCGCTGTCGCCATGTTCGAGCGCTTCACGGAGAAGGTACTTGGCCGTTCACCTTGGTCTTCAATCATGAGTCACTTGCGAGTTCGTCACGGCACGTGAGGATTAAGTTGATTGAGTTGTTTCTTAGAGGGCTTCAGAAAGTAGGTGGCATGGGCGCACCTTGCTACACGCGGCGTGGCTTGACTACTCCGTCTATTTTGTTTTCGTAGATCATTGGAACTTCGACCTGTGCTCCCGGCTGCTGCTGACTATTCAATTTGCCGTCCATCAGCCACTAAGCTACGCGCGTCGAAACGCTCTGACTTCCCCATCCCACTACTCCTCGCCCATCGCAGGCGATCAAGGTGATTATGCTCGCGCAGGAGGAGGCGCGGCGCCTGGGACACAATTTCGTGGGCACGGAGCAGATTCTCCTGGGGCTCATCGGCGAGGGCACGGGCATCGCCGCCAAGGTGCTCAAGTCGCTGGGCGTCAATCTCAAGGAGGCGCGCGTCGAGGTCGAGAAGATTATTGGTCGCGGCTCGGGCTTCGTGGCCGTTGAGATCCCGTTCACGCCGCGCGCGAAGCGCGTGCTGGAGCTGTCGCTGGAGGAGGCGCGCCAACTCGGGCATAACTACATCGGCACGGAGCATCTGCTGCTGGGCCTGCTCCGCGAGGGCGAGGGCGTGTCTGCGCGCGTGCTCGAGAATCTCGGCGCCGACCCCGGGAACATCCGCTCGCAGGTAAACAGGAGAATGTCTTTTTTTAGTCGATTCAAAACACGTCTGTTGTGAGTCGACTCAAAACGCGCGTGCTAGAAAATCTGCCGGGAACATCCGTGGCGCCGACCCTGGGAACATCCGCTCGCAGGTACATAGGGGAGTGTCCGTTTCTTGTGTGCGTTTGATTGAATATTGCTGGAAAATCTGCAGTCGCGCTTCACGGGTGATCCGCATGGTACTTTATTTGAAAGATTTGCTGCACTGAAATCGAGTTTTGTGATATTAACGAGGTGTAATATCTCTTGTGGCGGGTGATCCGCATGGTCACCACTTCCTGCACTGAAATTGGTGGTTGTGATATTAACGAAGGCTGGTTCTTCTGGTGGCAGGTGATCCGCATGGTGGGTGAGAGCGCAGAGGCGGTGGGCGCGGGCGTGGGCGGCGGCAGCAGCGGCAATTCCAAGATGCCCACTCTCGAGGAGTATGGCACCAACCTCACCAAGCTCGCTGAGGAGGTGAGTGAATCCGGCTGGGCTTAGCGCTTAGGCTCTCCTCCCCTTCTCCACCCTCCACCACCGCCCGTCCCTCCTCGCGGGGCAAGCTAGACCCAGTGGTGGGGCGTATAGCGCAGATCGAGCGGGTGATGCAGATCCTGGGTTGCCGCACCAAGAACAACCCCTACCTCATCGGCGAGCCCACAGCCCAATGCGTCTTCTCTTCTCTCTCCCTTCCCGTTCTGCTCTTCCCTCTCTCCGTCTCTCCCCTTCCTCCCTGCAGGGCAAGCTAGACCCAGTGGTGGGGCGTATAGCGCAGATCGAGCGGGTGACCCAGATCCTGGGTCGGCGCACCAAGAACAACCCCTGCCTCATTGGCGAGCCTGGTGTGGGCAAGACTGCCATTGCTGAGGGCCTTGCACAGAGGATTGCTTCTGGAGACGTGCCTGAGACGCTGGAGGGGAAGAAGGTGAGAGTGTGGTGGGTAGCAGGATGTGTGTTCCGTAACCAGGGTGAAATGTCTCGGGGGAATGGCAATGTTGATACGACATGTTCTGACTGTAGGGGCGTGGTGTGGTGGTTTCTGAAGAGGAAATTTGTTTTTACTATCGTATTCCCCTTTCCCCCCGTTTTCCCACAGGTCGTTACCCTAGACTTGGGGCTGCTTGTAGCGGGTACCAAATACAGAGGAGAGTTTGAGGAGAGGCTGAAGAAGCTGATGGACGAGATCAAGCAGGCGGGCGACATCATCCTCTTCATCGACGAGGTGCACACGCTCATCGGCGCCCACGCTCATCCTTCCCTCTCCCGCTCCCCTCCTCTCCGCCCGCCCTGCCATCCGCCCCCCTCCCCTGGTCCCACAGGTTGTCACCTTAGACATGGGTCTCCTGGTGGCAGGGACCAAGTATCGGGGTGAATTCGAGGAGCGACTCAAGAAGCTGATGGACGAGATCAAGAAGGCGGACGACATCATCCTCTTCATCGACGAGGTGCACACGCTCATCGGCGCGGGCGCGGCCGAGGGTGCGATCGACGCGGCCAACATCTTAAAGCCCGCCATGGCGCGCGGGGAGCTGCAGTGCATCGGTGCGACCACGATCGACGAGTACAGGAAGCACATAGAGAAGGACCCGGCGCTCGAGAGGCGGTTCCAGCCGGTGCAGGTGCCGGAGCCATCGGTTGATGAGACGATTCTCATTCTCAAGGGGCTGAGGGAGCGATATGAGATTCACCACAAGCTCAAGTACACGGATGAGGCGCTTGCTGCTGCCGCCCAGCTGTCCTACCAGTACATCAGGTGTGCTGGGTTCGTCTTGAATAGGCCAACGAGCTGCACTAGCAATAGCTTTGTATTCATCTCCCATCTTCTCCACCAACCCTCCACTTCCCTCCTCCCCCGTCCCCTCCCCTTTCTCTCTCCCCCCAAAACAGTGACCGCTTCCTGCCAGACAAGGCAATCGACCTGATCGACGAGGCAGGGTCCCGCGTGCGGCTGCAGCACGCGCAGCTGCCAGAGGAGGCCAAGGAGCTGGACAAGCAGCTGCGGCAGATCACCAAGGAGAAGAACGAG